CGTGTAACCCACCAAGACACCCAGATCCTTTTGGCTCAGTATTACCCTCCATTCAATATTCATGTCTTTGATTTTTGTTTTCTCCTACTCAAATTTGCATTTGTCCCTATTGAAATTAGAGTTGCCGATTTTGTCAAGCTTCTTCTGAATTTGGTATTATCCTATAAGTATTTGCTTGATAATCCCGTACTGGCTTCTGACAAGCAGTATATTCTTTTCTAAATGCTCACAGGTTAACTGCTTAATAACATGTTCCAGAATCTTGCCCAGTATCAATATCAAAGTGACCAGTCTTGGTTACCTACATTCCCTTTTTTCGCCTTTCTAAAGATAGGAAAAACTTCTACTCTTTTCCAGTACTATGGTGCTATGCCTGCCTCAGTGATTATTTGGAGGCACAGAAAGTGGCTCCAAAATGATATTCTCAAGCTCCTTCAGGAGTCTTACATATAAGATATTGATCTGGTCCTTGAACTTAAAATTGTTTGTGACAGCCAAATACTCTTAACCATCTTTTTACTTACAGTACCTTGGATTGTTATTCTTTCCTTTTGTTATTTATTCTACTTTGGTCTATTTGAACACATGGTCCTTTTGAGAAAAAGACTAAAAAGAGCTTTGCTTTCTCCTTGTTATCTGTAATTATCTTACTAACCTTCCCAAGTAGTGGGCCCATCAGTTCCTTTGACTGTTGACGTAATTAAAACACATACACAAGTTGTGTTTTAGCCTTTCTGACTTTTTTTTCCCTTGCAGGTATTAGCTATTTGCTGGTAAGCGCATCTTCCATTTCCTCTAAATGTTTCTTTAACTCGGTCAGAACTCCCTATACATCCCCAGCTATTTTCTCAGTTGCCCCACTCCATTTTTTCTTCTCATTGGAATGGCCTGTGATTGCACTTTCAGTATCTTATTTCTGAAAAGCTCTTAATTTCCTATGCTCTGATTGATTTGACAATTTTGGTGCATGAGATCCTGACTAATGTTTCTCTAGGTGTGTTGCAATTGTCTTCCTGAAATCGTATATCTGTACTCCAGTTTCTCTTACTGTAACATTTTGAACCTTGCATCATCTCTTTCTCTGTTACATTGACTGCTGCTAAAAACTACAGGAAATCCTTGCTTAGCATCTATTCATTCAGCTACAATTTGAAGTTTCGACAGTGCTAAATGAATGATATTTACACCCAGTCCGCCAAAGTTGGAGTGCCCCAAGCGCCTGATCAAAATTCAGGTGCTTGGCAGACCACTTTAGAACTGCGGGGCCACTTCAGTCCGCCTTTCTCCCTCCCCCATTTCTGCCATTTTGGCCCCCTGCACTCTGCAGGCCCTTCCATCCTATGCTCCATTGCCCCCTGCTGATCTTCACCATCTTCTTGCTCCCACAGCTGATGTAGTGTGCCTGGTATGACTCTTCCGTTTCCTTGTGAGACTTCAGGAAAAAGGCCTAACATGGCCAGCAGCTGCCTTGCAAAGGGCCAGACTGGGCACACCTCATCAGCAGCAGGAACAAGAAGACAGCAAAGAACAAGAAGAGTCCGCTGGCAACAGAGTCCATGGAGCATAGGTTGGCGATGTCAGTGTGGCCGGGTCTTCACGCTGTGCTGCTAAGCTTGGAGTGGTTGGGTCTGTATACCATGCTGCTATGCAGGGGCAGCTGCAGCTTTGCATTATGCTGGGATAGCTGCTTGCATGTCCTCCCAGTACCAACCGCCCCAAGCCCTGAATTCCCCATTGACTTTGCTTATTGAAAGCCCATAGGACAGTGATGGCGAACTTTTTAGAGACTGAGTGCCCAAACTGCAACCCAAAACCCACTTATGCATTGTCGAGTGCCGGGTGGGTGTGGCCAATTGGGTGGGTGTGGCCCATTGGGTGGGCATGGCCGCGGTGGTAATGGCAGACTGGGTGGGACTAAAAAGTTCAATCAATCAATTCCAACTTTGCAAGATCTTTTTTAATTGACTGATTGAACCTTTTTTTTTTTTTTTGCACACGGTGGCAGAGGCCTAAAGTGAAAAGGTTTTATAAAACCCAGCTGAAGGCCTAAGACTGGGGCGACGGCGCGCGTGCCCACAGAGAGGGCTCTGAGTGCCGCCTCTGGCACCCGTGCCATAGGTTCGCCACCACTGCCATAGGAAGTCATGAGGAAGTCCTTGCTTAACAATAGCAATGGGGACTGCTGGGATTGCAGTGGCTAAGCAGCGTGCTCATGTGACATAGCACTGTGCAACTGCATCGTTTAGTGACAGAAATTCTAGTCCCAGTTACTGTGGTTAACCAAAAACTATCTATAATGTTTCCTAGTTTACTTTAGGATGTCATAAATAAACCTGGGATATTCTAGGTGGTATTTATGGAAAACTTCTTATATTTTGTAAGCTGCCGTAATAATCTTGTTTTCGGGAGCTGAGGTAAACCTTATTGACTTTGTTTGTGATAATAAACTATAGAAGCTAGTGCTCCTATATTTGATCTGTAATAAGGTAGGGATATGAAGGTTTGAGTAGAAAAGAATTTATATTGCTGATTAATGTGATAGAGGAAAGGGTTGCATAAGCCATTAAGCAAAATTAATTTTTGGCGTTCAAACCCAAATAAAGTAGATAATTATTCGGTTTTTTCAGCTTAATTTATAATTAAGAAAAATCATAGAATTTTTAATGTTTCTGAAAAATCCAAAATATTTATTTCTAACTCACTTTTCTGCCTGTAATTTTAACTAGATTGCTTTTCTCATGACTGATAGTAATTGATTAGATCCGGCACTCCAACCCTGATTCCTTTTGCTTTAAACCAGGGGTGTCAAACTCGCAACGTCACGTGACGTGTCGTGACATATCGTGATTTTTTTCCCATTGTCGGCAATGGGGTGGGCGCGGTTTCAGCATGACGCATCCGGCCCGCGAGCCGGCAGTTTTGACACGCCTGCTTTAAACATATGGGTAGTCCTCGACTTACAACAATTCATTTAGTGATCACTCAAAGTTAGTATAGCACTGGAAAAAAAGGGACTTATGACCTTTTTTTTCACATTTACAATAGTTGCAACATCCCCATGGTTACATGATCAAATTCAGATGCTTGGCAATTGACTCGCGATGGTTGCAGTGTCCCGGGGCCATGTGGTCATCTTTTGCTACCTTCTGATGGGGAAGCCAGATTCACTTAATAGCCATTTTACTTATTTAACAACGGTGGTGATTAACTTTAACAACTGTGAAAGAAAGGTCATAAATGGGGCTCACCTAACAAATGTCTCGTTTAACAAAAGAAATTTGGGGCTCAATTGTGTCGAGGACTACCTATAGTCCTGTAACTATCCTGTGAAATTATAGTTCAGGAAAAAAATTACTATCTCAAAAGGAAGTGCAAAGTAACTTATAAAATAAGAAAGTAATGTTACCCTTTCCATTCTCCCCTGTTCATCAACTGCAATAATGTAAAATTAGGAAATTATTAAAGGTATGGTTAAAAAGTATTATTCTATATTTACTTATTTGAATGGATATCATTCTTAAATTAACATAGGTTTCCTAAATGTTTGCTGAAATCATATGAAAGCATTGTATTTTAAAGTAACTTCAATCATGTTATTATTTAAAGTGGATTGAGACACGTAGAAAACATGGCTCCCCAGATATGCTTTATAGCAGAGCTTTTCAACCAGTGGTACGGGTACCACCTGTGGTACATTGGCACCTGGCGGGTGGTACATGACCATCCTAGAAAAGTGGTAGCGGGGGAGGGGAATGAGCTGAACCCGTGGCCGCACCGCACAAGCCTGAGTGAGAGATGGCTGGAGCTGCAGGGCTGGCAGGGCTCAGGGGAAGCACCGGGATCAGCACCAGGATCCAGCTGGAGCTCGGCGCTAATCCTGGAGCTTCCGCTGAGCCCAGAAGAAGCGCCGATCAGCTGGAATGTTGCAGCATCTCCAGGGTCTTGTGATTTACATTCAGATGCTTGGCAACCGATTCATATTTATGACGGTCACAGTGTCCCAGGGTCATGTGAAGTGACCAAAACCTGCTGCAACCACCCAGCAGACGGGGGGAATAAAAACCAAACACCTCCCACCTCACCCCCGCTGCCAATCCTCAACAGAAATGCTCACAACAATGAAAACCTCGGACAGGAGGAAGAGCGCCGCCGGGCGGGCAGGCAGGTGTCTTGCTCGGCTGTGCCTTGGGGGGCACTTTTTTCAGTGCCATTGTAACTTCGAACAGTCACTAAGCAAACTGTTGTAAGTCAAGGACTACCTGTACTTTATTACTTTTTTTCTTTTTGGGGGGGGGACAGCAAGTTTTTGACACCTTGCTAGGCGACTGGTGGTACTCGGATATTGCCATATCCTAAAAGTGGTACAATGGGTGAAAAGGTTGAAAAGCCCTGCTTTATAGCTTTGAGAAGCCTAAGCTATTATATCAGTGATGAGGTATTTTGGCCACTGCAATTTAGTGTCAATTGGAAGGTCATTGATTCTGGTTTCTAACTCAGAGCAAATGTCTCGGAAATAAGTATCCAGGTTGCTGTATAACTTTGATGTTAATTTTCATCTAATGGAAATGATTGCATCAGAATTTTTAACTTCCTTCAACAGCCAGCTCCGTTCCAGTTGTTGCTGTGCCAGTAATTATGTAATGCTTCTTCCTCAAGAAAGTATTGTGGTTTTATCTCTCTAAAAGTATCGTGTTTACATATTAAAGCATTCTGTTGTTCCTAATGGCCTCAAGACAGTGTTTTTAAAAGATTAAAGCTGTCTTGGGTAGATTCTAGCTGATATTCTAACAGTATTTGCTGAGATAAAAATCCTAGCAAATTTCCTTTCTAATTCAGAAATAAATAGAAATAAAATCTATTTATTTTATAAACTTATTTCTGAATTGCTTTTTGGTCCAAGAACAAAAAAGAAAATTAAATGTTGGTAATATTCTTAAAACTTTTTTGTCTATGGATTGATTCCTTTTTCAAATTTAATTTTATTTGAAATATTTCTTTAGCCCTGGAGTGAGATCTGATGTGAGCAGTTCACCATCTACCTCTTCAGCAACTACGGGACCACCTCCCAAGCTTTGCCTTGTTTGCTCAGATGAGGCTTCTGGGTGTCATTATGGTGTCCTGACATGTGGCAGCTGCAAAGTATTCTTCAAAAGAGCTGTGGAAGGTAGGAAGCAATATGATTATTACAATCTGAGTCACTAGCATTTTATTGTATAAGTAATTAATGTTTTCTTCCACATCCATAATCTCAGTACAACTATTTTTTTCTTGAGGAATTACTAGCTTATTATAAAAAAAAGATAAAGATTCTAGTTCAAACAAAAAGTAGCAAAAGAGGAAACCATGCAGGAGAACTACACTAGTAGCACAATGCAGCTACTTAAAGCTTCCCTGCATCTACTTTGCAGCCCTTCTACAGTCTTCTAGTCATGTGTGTGCATGCAGAGAAGGCAGTTCTGTGGAGTAGTGTTGAAGCAAGGTGGAGCAATATATGGAAGATTTAGAGAAGGTCTGGCTGCTGTTTTGGACCTCCAAATTATGAATCTATCATGATGCTTTGCTTGTAGTATTTTGTCCAGAGATTTTCAGAGGCCTAAGGTTTAGGAACCTCTTTTGTTCTTGAAGAAACAGCTGAACAGACTTATGCCCTCTAATCCAGGTCTAAGTTGAATCAGGAAAGAATGGTTTGTTTTTACATTATAGAATCTCCAGTACCCCTTCTCTGTCAATTTTCCCTAATCTCCTTGACCAGTTTTCACTGTGATGTTCAGAGTTAATACCCTAAC